GGAGCGCGGATTCACAGTAGAGAGGAGACGGCTGCAGAGACGTCGGATGGCGGGGAGAGCGACAAACAGATGAGCGGAATCCGCGAGGTTCGCGGGCAAACACTGCAAATGCCACTTGTTCTCAGGTGCACCCACCACTTAGCCTCACCAGGGGTGGACCTGCCGTCAATTGCGGGAAGAGGTGCGGAGCCATCGTGCCTCAGTGCAGCTTGATGGCTGCTGAGCAGCTTCCGGTGTGGAGTGTCGTCGCGGGCGGCGCAGCTCACGGCACTCCCCTGCTCAAAGGATGGGATGCACCGAGCAGAACGGAGGCGCGGCAGGCAGGAGATCGGGAGGCGCGGCAGATCCGGGGGGGTGAGGGGCCAGGCAGGTGTGGAGGGCTGCGATTCTGCGGGTAACGGGAAACTAACCTGCACGTCGAGGCTGTGCTGCGTAACACTGTCCAATAGGCGCACGGGGTGGCCAAGGCGCACAATCTTGACGCCACCATTCGCAAGGCGTTCCGCCATGTTGTCCACCGCGACATTGGACGGAGCACACGCCAGCACCTGACCCGTCACCCGCCCGCAGCCCTACTAGCTCTCCGCACCGCACTAGCCCTATTCCATGCTGCAGCCACCGAAATGCTGTGCTCTGATACAGTTCAAGGAGCCAGGGTCAAGAAGGGTCAAGAGGCTGTACGAGGAGCCGGGGGCGAGAAGGGTCAAGAGGCTGTACGAGTAGCCAGGGGCGAGAAGGGTCAAGAGGCTGTACGAGTGAGCCAGGGGCGAGAAGGGTCAGAGAGGCTGTACGAGGAGCCAGGGGCGCAGAAGGGTCAAGAGGCTGTGACGAGGAGCCAGGGGCAAGAAGGGTCAGAGGTTGCATGAGAGCCAGGGGCGAGAAGGGCTCAAGAGGCTGTACGAGGAGCCAGGGGCGAGAAGGGTCAAGAGGCTGTACGAGGAGCCTGGGGCGAGAAGGGTCAAGAGGCTGTACGAGGAGCCAGGGGGCGAGAAGGGCTTCGCAGGCTGTACGAGGAGCCAGGGGGCGTAGAAGGGTCAAGAGAGGCTGTACGAGGAGCCAGGGGCGGAAGGGTCAAGAGGCTGTACGAGGAGCCAGGGCTAGAAGGTCAAGAGGTTGCAGTGGGCGAGCCGGGCGAGAAGGGTCAAGAGGTTGTGGCCGAGGAGCCAGGGGCGAGAAGGCGGGGCCATGAGGTTGCAGCCGAGGAGCCAAGGCGAGAAGGGTCATGAGGTTGTACAGGAGCCAGGGCGAGAAGGCTGGGTCAAGAGGCTGTACCGAGGAGCCAGGGGCGAGAAGGGTCAAGAGGCTGTGGCCGAGGAGCCAGGGGCGAGAAGGGTCAAGAGGCGCCCTGAGAGCCAGGGGCTAGAAGGGTCAAGAGGCTGGGGCCGAGGAGCCAGGGGCGAGATGGGTCAAGAGGTTGCACGAGGAGCCAGGGGCGCAGAAGGGCCAGGCTGTACGAGAGCCGAAGTAGAAGGGTCAAGAGGCTGTACGAGAGCCTGGGCGAGAAGGGTCAAGAGGCTGTGGCCGAGGAGCCAGGCGTAGAAGGGTCAAGAAGCTGTACGAGGAGCCCGGGCGAGAAGGGTCAAGAGGCTGTACGAGGAGCCAGGGGGCGAGAAGGGTCAAGAGGCTGTACGAGGAGCCAGGGGCGAGAAGGGTCAAGAGGCTGTACGAGGAGCCAGGGGCGAGAAGGGTCAAGAGACTGTACGAGGAGCCAGGGGCGACAAGAGCAGCAAGAGGGTATACTCTCACCTTATCCCCCCTTTTCACAGCCTGGCGTATGAGCTCCACGATTGTCGTAGTTTTGCCGGTTCCAGGAGGTCCGTGTATAAGCGCCACATCACTTGCTGAGAGCGCAAACTCGATCGCCTCCACCTGCCAAGCACGGCTGACACTCACAACAAATTTTGTCCGTGACTCATTGGACCTACTGCAGAGATGAGTCATCAATGGTCGGCTGTTCATTGATAGCTGCGGAGTGTTGGTGATGTCCAATTATGTCGAAAATGAAGACGAAGTTCTGGATTGCGGCTCGTCAGGGGGACAGAGCAAGAACGCCGCTGCTTCGAGCGCACGTGGTCCCGTGGTTCCACCGCTCCTGGCCAATGGGCTACTGGGCCGCCACTTACCTGGGACGAATTGAGGTTCGGGTTCATAGGATGAATCTTGACCGGTGCCCGGAAGTGTGGCTCCGCCTGCCCGAATAGCACGTCCTGCGTGCCACCTCGGAGTTCAACACACCCGCCATGAGTCCCCCACCATAGCCTCAAGGCCCGCTGCAACCCTCCTGCGCGGTACTGCCGGGCCACTGCAACTCCCTCGCCCTCCCGTGGCACTGCTTTGCTGGCTGCCTCAAACCCCTCCAAGGCACGACTAATCCCTTTGGGCATGCCTTGGATCAGAAGCACAGGGCATAATGGAAGCCAACGATGGTGCGATAGTGGCAGCCAAGTCCGTGGTAGAGGAAGATAGGTCTCGGCTTGAGCCTCGCCTTTCTCGCAGCGATCAGGTACGATCGGAGCAAGCTTCAAGCGCAGAGGGAGAAACCGAATCGGAGTGGGATAGTTTTTAGACAAGACGGAATCTTCAAAAGAAAGATACCGCACGCGAGATTCATAGGCACCCTCGAGTGAATCTGCGCAGCTGTCAACGAAACGCCTCAAGAATTATGTCCTCACTTAATTTGACCACCCATCACATGAGGCAAGCGTAGACGTCGACACGTTTAGTCACGACGCCTCCCCAACCCACTGAGCCTGGTGCCTCCAACACGGGTTCGGCCTCTCCCTCGGGATGGGTTATTGGGCAGAAGGAGTGGCAGGGTTGCGGGTGCCGCAGCCAAGCAAGCCTTCCACTACAGACTGTGATGCGACCAGGTTCACCTTAAGACGTGACGTGGCGTGCCCAGGAGCACACTCGTCCACTTGGTGCAATATATGGCGGTATCGCTTGTACGTGATGTCGTTGGCGAGGCGCAGCAGGTGGACAGTTCCTTGGATGTCGTCCGCCTAGTTTCACCGAGACTCCGAGTCAGGGTTTTAGGGTTTAGTTAAACGTTTGCCGGAGTAGGGAGTGGGAGCTCCACCACAAGTAACACGGCTTGAGCCAGTTATGGTCCTCAAAAGCCGGTGGCAACGCAGGCCCCTGTTTCTTGCACATAACTGCTCTTGCACGCCCGAAGTCGTTTTAAGCACGCTTCCTTGCTGCTCTCGCACCACACGCCGACGGGATGATATGCCGTGCATAGGCTTCCGAAAGGAGTTCGAGATGCCTTTTGCGCATCGCATTGGCAGCCGCAGAGAGCACTCGTGCCGGCGCCGGTTCCAGAGCCACGGTCGCGCAGGTCACGCGCGGAGGGATGCGCGACAACTCCTCCGAGAAACACGCACCCTGTCCGGATCCTCTATCGCCACGATGATTTGCGCTTCCGAGACACGGTATACCAGGCCGCGCTCGTCAGAAGCAGCGCCGTCTTGCTGGAGAGCAGGCGACGACGTGTCCCTGAGGGCGACGATATCGCCGGAAGAGAGTCGATGCGCCGGCAGCGGGCCGGTCACCCCGCCTCGGCACTTTTCCATGGTTAGCAGCATGCGGCCGCCTGCGCTCGCGCACCGTTCCCTCAGCTCGAGCGCAGCCCAAGGCAAACGGCACTTTTGGGTGCCGCCAAGATCTTGACAGGATCAGGAAACGAGGAGGAACAATTTTCTAGCCACAGGGTAACCAGTTCGAGTGGGGCAGCCTCAGCGACGCTCGAAGAGAAAATGTGTCGTGAGTGCACCGGTTTACTCCGGTCGCAAACTAAGCGCGCACGGACTGGTGCCTGGGGATTCACACCAGCGGTCTGGGACATCAAGCAAAGGCTAGGGCTGCGGCGAGCGCTGAACGACGAGGAACGGTCGCGTTTTCACATATGCATCCCAGCAGATTGCTTGTGCTCGATCCGACAAGCTCGGCGAGTGATGCATAAGCGGCTGCTGAAAGCTTAGACTGATGCTGAATGCTTAGACTAGCAGAGCATCGAATACGGCGTCGACTCTCCCGTAGTCAAAGCAGGTAGCAAGGTTTCGCAGCGAAACGCGCGATCCTCAGCGGAGCAACGTGCGAAGGGTTGCGAAGGTGCACATCGCAGCGAACACTTGAGGCAGTGATAGGTGCTCAATCGCGAAACGGACACGAGAGCTCGAAAGAGTTCTAAGTCGGCGACGTAAAATTTTACGAGCCCAGGAAGATGGATAGCGCAGAACCGTGAGGCCAAAAAGTGGCTTTCAGAACGCATACGCCATAAAACGCGGCGCTGCCTACGCGTGCTTGTTTCGGGTCCGCAGGCCTTTTTTACCTAAGCCAGTCTTCCTTTCTGCGACCGTCAGCGACAGAATTGCGACTCCGGACTGTTCGAGCTGACGGAAGCTGCACTGCGCTTGCTGCTCGGCAGTTTGCTGCTCCTCGGCAGTGCGTTCCAGATCCACAAGTTCCAGCTGCTCTCTCACAAAACTGTCCACACTGTGGACCATGGGCAAGTCCGTCGCACTCTTCAAGCCGCTCATTTGTTTCGACATAATCTGTTGTTGGGTGCCTTGCGTACCAAACTTCTTTATGTGCTGCGCGATATCATTCCATCACACGACAGAAACCCTTCGCTTGTGAAGAGAGAAGAGATTTGCAGATTCCTTTCTTTTTTCACGATTGCATTGGAGATGACAAAACTCAGAAAACGGGTGAATGCCAAATGATTAGGCCGCCCATACTGTACTTTGAGTATAGCAATAGGGGAGCGTGGACACCCTTATTATCACCTTTTTTAAGGTGTAGCGGTGTGGAGCCGCGCGCGCGGTATGGCGATCATGGGTGATGGATTTTTTTGGTATTTTAGACGTCAAAACCGCCCCATTTTGGTCAAACATGCCGTTTGGCTATAAGATCAACAAATTCAATTGTGTCATTCAGTGTGTGACATGTCATGTCGTAACTCAGAATTTTTTTTCTGATAGTATTTTTTTCCAGAGTTTGGAACCAAGGGGGAATCAAACCCGCCGTCCCGACAAATTACCGGATTGTTGTGCTATCACTGCACCATTGGTTCGATATATACTCAGATAAATTCATCATCATTGTCCTTATTGGAGCAATATTCATTTCTTTTCCATTACAATTATTGCATCTTCAACTTCAATTCTTCAAGTCTTCCCATTCAGCGTTAGTACGGCGTGTAGTACTGCACCATATAGACAGGTACAGATTTTTCCTTCTCCTTACCATAGTCCTTGCCTCATGGCCGTAACGATAATCGTATGTCGAGATGAGTGTATGACGAACAAGTCTCATTTGTGAATGAACACGATGTGGGCGAATGCGCAGTCACATAGCTGGTTTCCCGTGCTAGAGCGCTAGACGCCAGTGAGATCTGCTGAAATCTGTATAGGTAGCCCTGACCGGGAGTCCCGGTGCAGGCCCCTATGACAGATTCCTAGGTAGCCAACACTGGACCTGTGACTGATCCGTAAGCCCGTGCTGTGACACATCAAGGTGTCACAGGTAGCTAGGACCGAGACCGTTCCGACTCCGTGACCGTTCCGGGTATATCTAGCTTAGGGTTTATTTCTTATAGAGAGTTTATCTATATTGGTTCACTGACTGTCTGATATCTTGAACCGGGATATTCCAGTAGGTCGTGGACCCATTCCACGCTATATTCCACAGCTAGTTTGGCCATGATTGGCTAAAGCAGCCGCTTGGAGAGGTGGTGCGCGACGGCGCGTTTGGGGACTCACGGGAATTTTGAGATGAGCTGTTTGCGGTGAGCGTCTTTGAGCCGCAGCTATGGGGGTTCGACCTGGACCGGGCCTAGTCGACGCAATGTTCATTTACGGTATTACGCTTGCCCTGATCCCGCTTGCTGCCGATTTTTGGGCTGGTGGCTCGAGCACCTTCGACCTCGACGACGTCTTCCAGTGCCCCTCGCTCGCATGGCTCTACCGCTCCTTCCGTAACTGTGGCGTCGCATCTTCCCCACGACATTACCCGAACGCGCCCCGGCGTACCACCTCCCATCAGGCTTTCAGAGTTATGGGTGTTACCACCAGAGCAAAGAAGTCCCTCACGAGGGACAACGACATTGATGCCTCGCTGAGGCTTATCGACGGGGTTCGGAACAGCCCGACGGTGCGGACTCCGACCGTTCCGACCCCCAACCCTGCTTCGAACGAGGACGCCGACGTGGCCGTCAGGCGTTACTTGCAGGAGCAGGCGAGGCTGACCGACGAGATCTACAAGGCACGTCTGCATCGTGCCTGGGCCAAGAGCATCCGCGAGGACGTTCTTGGTGACAAGAAACACCATTTCCGCGGTACGGACGACGCTGGCCTTCTGTCCGACCTGGTGGTGCAGCTACGTACGGAGTTCGAGTCAGCTGGGCTGGAGCTGAAGTCCTTTGATCTCGACGACCCCCTTACCCCGGTTGTGAGCCGGGTGAATGGACTTCTGTACGACGTGCTGGCTCTCGTGGTGGAGAAGCACAGCAACGCGTATGTCTGGCTCACTGGTACGGATGCTTCGTCTGACCGAGATGGCCGGCGAGCTTTGGTCGACATCATCAAGGGCTGCGTGCCGGTGGCGCTACGGGAGTCGCAGCAGGAGGAGCATGCGGCCTTGCGTTACCCCGCAAACGTAGACCCGCAGCCGATTTTGGCGCGGGAACAACGTTTGGTGCGGGATAACAAGGCCTCCGACTGGACACCTACGGAGGCTACGCGTAAGCTGAGCCTGTACACCAGGCTTGACCCGGCGTTCTACGCTGCGGTTAAGGTGCGCTACCCCATGGCTGCTGACTTGGCTCATGTCCCGTTGGCCTCGCTCCGCTCCATGAATCTACCAGGCTTGGGCTCAGACTGACACGGGTAAGGCGGCTTCTGGCGCGAACGGCATCTCCGCGCACCTCTCCAGCAGCGAGTACGACGCCCTCCTCGTGAAGATCACGGAGCTGAAGGACTTGGTACAGCGGCAGCACGGGAAGGGCGCTCCGGTGGTGCGGCAGCAGCGGGTGCAGCAGCGGCAGCAGCAGCAGCAGCAGCAGCGTGCGCAGCATCCGAAGGGATTCCGTATGGGGCAGCACAAGGCGCCGCCCGTGGGATTCGACCGGGACGACCAGCGAGCGAAGCCGTTCTGCGGCAGGTGCAAGAAGGCGGGCAAAGGTGAGAGCTACCACTTCTACCGCGACTGCCCGTTGGGCGGGCGCCAACACCCGCCCACCTCCGCCGCGGCATTCTGCATTCCTATCGACGAGGAGGACGCGGAGGGGGTGCATGCGCTTGCCATGTGTGCACTCTTCCAGCAGGCGGCGGACGATGGCGCGGAGTCCTTTGCTCGTGCGGCCGCCGCGTACGGGCCGCCCGCGGTGCTTTGTGCGGGAGCGGTGGGCGGCATCGACGTGTCCGCCTACGGCTTCGCGGTGGAGCAGCAGTCGGCTTCCGACGAGCCCGTAGGAGACGACATTCTCCGACGGCTCGACGATCTTGCCGCGGAGGTTCACTCCGCGGCCAATCACCAGGTGCACTTCACACACGCATCTTTCCCGCCTCCTGGCGTCGTCGAGCAGCAGGCTTCGGCTCTGGTGTGCGGACCCGCCGCAGCGGGGACCACGCCGGAGGAGCAGGTTCCGGCAGGTGGTGCGGCGGCATCGGCATCCGCCGTGCCGGCCCCTCAGGGTAGAAGTCTTACCGTGGCGGGCCGGCCCGGGGCCGCAGTAGCTCGCTCCGGGCCGAAAGCGGGCCGAAGGGGCTTTCGCCCCCGGGCCGCACAAAAATATGAGCCGGCCAAACTTCGGCAAAAAATATAGGCATTTAATGCCACTTTTTATCAAACCCCCATACTTAATTTCAAAATTCCGCGCCTGCGGCGGGCATTTTTATTCCTTGACCGTTTTGGCCGAAAGCGGGCCAGCGGATATATAGTTTACGGGCCGTAAAGATTTTTGGAAGACTTCTACCCTGCGGCCCCTGCTATGCCTGTCTCGCAGGGAAAGGATGTGAAACCCGCGCCACTGCAATCGGCGCGGGTAACCACCACAGCGGACGCGGACGGTGAGTTCGCGGGGTTCGTTCAGACCGTCAACCACGCCGCCATCGGGCAGGTTGATCTCACGGGTTACGACACGGACGATTACGAGGACCTCGCCGACGGCAGCTTCATCGTGAAGCCGCGGACTCCGGCCATTTCGGCAAATCATGCGTCGGAGTCCGCGACCCACGTGCCTCGGTCTGGTGGTGCATCCCGCACCTACGGTTGTGGCAAGCCGCCATGGGGCTTCCCCGCACACGCGGGCCCGTGGGGGTTTCATTACTTTGTCTCTCTCTTTCTTTTGATCTCGATCATGGGAGTGGGAGCTGCCGCCTACACGGCGGCCAATGACGTCGACCCTGTGCAGGTATCGGGTCGGGCTGCACCGCAGCCTGTGCTGTGCAGGGGGGATTTATGCATCTACCCCGGTATATCCGAGCTGGACCCCGCCACTCTGGATGCAGTACTGCACTCCCTGGGTGCTGCGACGGTGGTTCACCGGCCGCCTGACTCACTGGAGAGCGGTGCTGCAAGCTACTACCGTGGGCATTGTGGTGACGGTGCACCTCTGGACTTTGACCCCGAGTAGCTTTTCTTCTGGCTCTGGCAGTGCACCACTCTGGTGGTGTGCTGAGATGTGCTTTGACCTCAACATGGTCTTCAATTTGGTTTATGCTTTACTTTGACATCTACAATCTTCAATCTGGTTTGCTGCCACAGTGCTTTTCGGTAGTTTAGCAGGACCTGAGTACCTGTATATTTCTGCACTTGTGCCGGCTAGAGGGGTCTGCACTTGTGCCGGCTAGCGGATATCCCGGTTCAAGATATCAGACAGTCAGTGAACCAATATAGATAAACTCTCTTAAGAAATAAACCCTAAGCTAGATATACCCGGAACGGTCACGGAGTCGGAACGGTCTCGGTCCTAGCTACCTGTGACACCTTGATGTGTCACAGCACGGGCTTACGGATCAGTCACAGGTCCAGTGTTGGCTACCTAGGAATCTGTCATAGGGGCCTGCACCGGGACTCCCGGTCAGGGCTGCCTATACAGATTTCAGCAAGATCATAAGATCAACAAATTCAATTGTGTCATTCAGCGTGTGACATGTCATGTCGTAACTCAGAATTTTTTCTGATAGTATTTTTTTCCGGAGTTTGGAACCAAGGGGGAATCAAACCCGCCGTCCACAAATTACCGGATTGTTGTGCTATCACTGCACCATTGGTTCTGTGATTACTAGAATGTCCTAGTGACACAGTGAAAACGCTGAACGCCGTAGGGTTTGAGCGAGGCTATCGGGTATATCAAAAGATAGAAATGAATACACGACTCTCAGGCTATCTAAGCTCTGAGGCCGTCACTAGGCAATCATATCGTGTGTCACAGTCTAAGCTACCGAAGTCGAACTACTGAGTACAGTAGGAAGTCACTGTACTGTCACTGTCACTGTCATACGTCATACGTGGTACTGAACTATTGAATCTCAGCACACCACCTCGGCTGAGGTGGCACAAGAATGTGAAACAGGTAGCTAATGCAAACTAAGAGGTCCCCGTCCACGGATCAGAACAACATCAACCAAAGGGCCGACCTGCCGCCATCCCCGCTTCCGGCTAACCCTCTAAACCGAATGCTAAAGTACTAGTAATTCTAGTATATGCACGCCAACTAGGTGGACTGCCACAAGGATATGAAAATATTGACTGGTCTCCGCCAGATCTCGCTCCCCGATAGATACTCTCATCCGATGCTGCTCAGCCCGACGGCCAACCAGTACTCGAGGTCATAGAAGATGTCAAAGAGGTACAGGATGTAGTCAAAGGCCAGAATCCAGTCAGATGTACTTAAGGTCAGAGTAGAGCTGTCGGTGTCTAAGGTCTCATAGGGCAGGTCACAGGTACCAGTCTGTCCACGAACACAAAGTCCAGTCCAGAAGGGCACCACGTCAAAGGGCATCAATCCAGTCAGACCAGAAAGACCCCTTGCCCGACCGCTGCCGGCTCATAGGCCTGCAGCTCAGCCGG